AGACAGAGATTATTCAAAACAGTTTTACTGTATTTGGGTTTTGCTGCAGTATTCTTTAAATCCAGGTTCTTCTTTCTTTAAGAAAGCTCTCAAATGGCTCTGCTGTTTAAACAATCGAGGTCAGCCCAACCAGACATGATTATTTTCAGCCATTACTCCTGTTTCTTTTCCCCTAGAGATTTCCTGCGACAGTTGGATGGTGAATAGCTCTGTCTTTCTGACCACACTGAAAAAAAAAATCCTCTCCAGAGCCAATTAAGTTGGGACAGTTTACAGTCTGTGGTTTGGATCTTGTGCAGTCTCTACTGTACTTTACTTCACTTCATGTCAAAGGCACAAAGTTCATCTTCAAAACTCCACCACTGCTCTCGTTTATCTGTCCCAGAGGCAATGCTGCAGGAACAATAACTCAAACTTCAAGTGTGTTTTTAGCAGCAGTGTCTTCAGCGAGGATGAAGCAGAGTTTAATGACGTGAAGAAGTGGAGAGAAAGAGGCCATCACCTTTTATAACTGAAGGCAGATGGAACACCAGCTGCTTGCAGCAGCAGAGAGAAGAAAGTGGATCAACCAGTCACAACAATGGAGGACACGGATGCTACTGCAAATAAGAAAGAGTATGAGATCAAACTATAAAGTTGTCATCACATCAAAACCTTCTGTCTTCTTTTATATCAGCTTTCTAAGAACCAGAAAAGTCAGGTCTGCTTTTAATCCTATTTCAACTTCAATAACAACTAATTCCATTTGCTAAATTGCAAACAGCCATGAGTGAACCAGGTGCTACTTAGGTCAAAGTGGATCTTCAAGCTCAAGTCTTGTGGTTCTTTTCAACCATAAAATTGGTTGAGGGGTTCTTTAACTGTTACTTTAAACACAAGAATGAATTACAGACTGTTGAGGAATGTTATTTGTTTTGTAGGCATTTGGTTATTAATGAAAACATTGGACTAATTAACATTTTGGCACAACATAAGTAAGGCTATGACAGGCTTTCTTAAAGGGGACATGAACATGAGTAGCACCAAATTTTACAACAATCTATTCAATAGTTTTGCAGACATTTAACTGATAACTATAAACGTGACCCTCATGGTGGCACCAACGAGGAAAAGTCATGGGACCACCAAATCCATCATGTCATTACCCGTCATTAGGCACTGGCCTTCCACTACATTTCTATCTTATAATGATAATAACCTAAGGTTTATATCTTTTCCTTCTTTTTTGCTAAAATATATATTACAGACTGAGTATTCAATTAAATACTTACTAAGATTATCCATTGTCAGACCAGCCAAACATCAGAATATGTAAGCATGTAATTGTTGGCATTGATGACTGTGTCCTTTCTGAAGGTGTGACTGTCAAAAACCTTGGAGTTATTTTTTGATCTTCATCAGACATTTCCCTCATATATCAGGGGTTTTATTGATATATCAGGGGTTTTATTGATACAGTAGCTTTGTGTGTGAGCAATATTGCTACAATCAGAATTATTCCATTACTGCATGCTGTTCACACAATAATCCATGCATTTGTATTTTCCAGATTTTATTACTGTAATGTCCTTTTCTCTGGTATTTCTAGTTGTGACACTTGAAGTCTTCAGCTCAGATAGATCCTTGTTTCTATGAAAGACCTCACCTGGTGAAAATCAAGTTTTTACTTTGCTAAAAAGTGAAAAAAACAGTCAACACCATGATTGAACAATACCACCAAGAGGCTGCAGTGTACCCATACAAAGCATCAGACTTCCAGGGTTTATAACAAACCTAAGGACCCAATTCTGTCAATTGCAGGGTGGAACTTTTTGTGTCGTTATTCTTCTACAGAACTGACTTCTGATTTGAACATGTTTGGCTGACATAGATGAGCTAGACTGAGTGAAATAAGTATATCAACCAAAAAAAAATAATCCAGAAAAACAATTTTTTTAACATTTAGAATTTAATTTCCAGTTGATTGAAGGAAATAAGTATTTGATCCCCCAGGAAAACATGACTCAGTACTTAGTGGAATAACCCTTGTTCACAACCACAGACGTTTCCTGTAGTTGGTCACCAGGTTTGCGTACATCTCAGGAGATATTTTAGACCACTCCTCCGCAGATTCTCTCTAGATCCTTAAGGTTTCAAGCCCTGGCTTAGAAACTTGAAGCTTCACCTCCCTCTATAGATTTTCTAGAGGATTGAAGTCTTGAAAGCTGGCTAGACTGCTCCATGAACTTAAAGTGCTTCTTCTTGAGACACTTCTTTGTTGCCTTGGCCATGTGCGCTGTGTAGTTATCTTGCTGGAAGACCTATCCACAACCAACAAGTACTCTGGCTGAGAGGAGGTTCATGCTCAAGATTTCTTGGTACATGGCGACATTCATTGTTCCTTTAATGAGGTGCAGTCATCCTGTACCCTTGGCAGAGAAACAGCCCAGAAGCATAATGTTTCCACCTCCATGCTTGACTGTGGGGATGGTGCTATTGGGGTGAAAGTCAACATTTTTTTTTTTTTCTCCAAACATGATGAGTTGAACTGATGCCAAAGAACACAATTTTGGTCTCAGTTGATCAAATCACATTCTCCCACTCCTCCTGAGGATCGTTTAAATGTTTATTTGCAAACTTCAGACAGGCTTTATGATTTCTTAATGAGGGGGACCTTGTTGGCGCTACAGGATTTCAAACCATTATGACGCAGCGTTACCAAAGATTTTCTTGGTGACTGTAGTCCCAATTGCCTTAAGATCATTAACAACTTCCCCCTATGGTCATAGATACTGCATGATGTGAGATCTTGCGTGGAGCTCCAGATTGAGGGCGATTGTTTGTTGTTCTGTGGTCTTGTAGCCCTTTCCAGCCTTGTGAAGCTCTACAATCTTGTATCTGACGTCTCTGGATAGCTCTTTGGTCTTACCCATGGTGGTGGAGTTGAAGACGCAAAATGTGATTGTTTGGACAGGTTTCTTTCACACATGCACACAACAACAGTTCAGATTATTAGAATGCTCAATATATGTGCCTCTTGGACACATAGCCAATCAGTGGGAGCCAGAATTCTTGCTGGCTGCAAAGGGGTCAAATGCTTGTTTTTCTTGATCAACTGGAAATTAATTTAGAACTGTTAGAAAATGTGTTTTTCTGGATTTTTTTTGGTTGATATTCTGTCTTTTACAGTTATAATAATGCTACTATTAAAATTACAGACCACTTGTTTTTTTGTATGTGGTCAAAATCAAGAAGTATGCAGGAGATCAAATACTTATTTCCTTTAATGTAGTGTGCTGGAGCCACCATGTGTGGGGAGGAGGGGATGGGGAAAACTGTGCATAGCTTTGGTGTGAAGCTGTATTTAAGCTGTGTAAGGCAGGAAATGGTTGTTTTTGTTGAAAAGAACCTCTAAATTAGCTTTTAGAGTTAAATGAGTGGATCAATAAAATAAATACAAATCAGCTGGCTTCAGAACATGTGCCTACCGTGCCCCTTATCTCTAGAATAGCCTTTCATTGGTAAAGAGGTTTGGTGTAGGTATCAAGACAGAAAACCTAACTTTATTCATGGCATTCTCATTATTCAGTTGGTTGATTGACTGATTGATTGATTTTGCAGTAAATACTTAATAGATGATATTATTATCAAAGGAAGTGCAAAATCCCACTGGTCCAGTATCGTTAGTGAGAAATTAGTGATAATCTGGCAGTATTTAGTGTCCTGGAGCATTAATAAAGCCCCTGACCTTTGTTTCATTGACAGCAGATGAAAGTTTAATGGTCCCTGTGGTGATACGTCAGCACAGCAGAGTGAAGAAAAGAAAAAGACAAATGGTAAAGTTAATTAAAACAGTCCAGAGAAGACATAATGAGTACACAGAATATATAATAGCACAGTCAACAGATAAACAGGAGTGAAGACAGAGCATGTGCATTAACAGACTGACACATGGAAGCAGATGTGTTAATGTGTCTGCTGCCAGATGTTCAAGCTGCTGAACAAACATCTAGACAAACCAGCAGAGCTACACAAGTAGGATGATGCTTAGCAGAAACCTGAAAGAAAGCCGTGGGGCGGGATGGCTCAGTACTTTTCAGCAAAAGCTGAAATATCCGTTTGATGGATTTCCGTGAAAACTTGTGGAGTCATTAATGGTTCACTTTAAGAGTCTCTTCACTTCTCCTCACAGATGCAGATGATTCCTCCTGCTTTGCAGATGATTTTGATAACATTTTACCTTCAAGGTGTATTCTACATGTTACCCACGTTTCAGCGCTTTGTGACTTACCCCCTAGGAGGAGTTAGCTCAGATTGGACAAACAAACAATCCAAAATGGCGGACTTCCTCTTGGGTTTAGGGTATGGCTGTCACTGACTTTTTTGTTTGTCCTGACCTTCTCCATATACCTACCAAATTGCGTATCTCTAGGTCAGACATGCTTCCGATGGGACTCTGTTGAAATTTTCTAGGTGGCGCTGTGGAGCCATTTTTCTATTGAGGTGTGTATTTCCCCCTAGTTATAAAATTTTTCACTGGGTCTGATGTGTGTGCCAAATTTTGTGGGTTTTTGAGTACTTTTAGGACCTGAAAAACACGTTTCTTTGTGACGAAGTAATAATGACGTAGCAGTTCCAATAGGGTCTTATGCACTGTCGTGTTCGGACCCTAAATATACAGAAGCTGAAAGAAATGGTCAGAGATTTACTTTAACGACAGGTTTATAATAAACAGTTGGTAATTTCAGCTGCAACTGTCACTGGGGACAAGGTGAAAAAATACCTTGATCCACTCCAGACTGCAATAGAATCAATGATGATGTTAGAATCACCTTACCTGCCCTGCAGGAAAATATGAGTCTGAATAAGGCTTTAAGTATGAATTTATAACTATGATGGACTACTCTCAGACAATTAACATCTCAAAAGACTAAAACATCCTTCAGGCTGATCCTGACATATGTCTCATTTATTATCTTCTATTAAATATTCAACATCGTCTCTCTCTTTCTCCCTTTCAGGTGGGGTTTGCATCGCTCAGTCTCTGAAGATTCCTCGGGAGCCGAGACCTGGCGAGTTTGATAAGATCATCCTTCGTCTGGTAGAGACACCCAACGCCCGAGCTGTCATCATGTTTGCCAACGAGGACGACATCAGGTAGAAATGTTATTCCCCGCACGCACAAAATTTATTAAATTCGAGTTGTGTGAAGTGATTTAGTGACGACTTCTTCCACATTTGAGCATCAATATTGGTCCACAAATTTTACACAGCAAAATCCACAATTTAAGAGCGAAATTACTGAACGCCTTTCTCATCATTTTGTTTGACAGTTTCACAGCTATTGCAAACGAAAATGTCCATAAAGATGAAATGTTACTGAGGTAAAGACAGAGACTGGAATGTCAAACATCAGTGAGACTCACCAGTGATGAATATAATTCAGGATTTAAAAAAAAACGTTAGGAGGAACAGCAGCAGGAGCGGCAGCAGTGACTTCATCATTTACTTAAAAATAGAAATTATTCCCGACATGGAGGAAGCATCTATCAGGATCTAACAGCAGGTCATAATATGACCTTTCCTTCACCTCAGACAGGTGAGCCATCACACAGAGTCACTGCTGGAGTTCAATATTTTGTTACACAACAGTTTTAGATTTAGATTTATGCATTGTTTTCCTGGTGTTCTGATCAATTGTATGTGTAAAAGTCTACCAGCTAAGACCTCGACAAAAAAATGTAGAATCCCAATGAAAAGTGGGCACATATATTTGACATATGGTTCTGGATGGGGCTGCAGGGTGGCGCAGTTGGTAACACTGTTGCCTCGCAGCAAGAAGGTTGCCGGTTTGCGTCCCGGTGGGGGCACCGGAATCTTTCTGCGTGGAGTTTGCATGTTCTCCCCGTGCAGCGTGGGTTCTCTCCGGGTTCTCCGGCTTCCTCCCACACAGTCCAAAAACATGTTGAGATTAATTGGTGATTCTAAATTGTCTGTAGGTGTGAATGTGAGTGTGCTTGGTTGTCTGTCTCTAAGTGTGGCCCTGTGATGGACTGGCGACCTGTCCAGGGTGTCCCCTGCCTTCGCCCTAAGTCGGCTGGGATAGGCTCCAGCCCCCCCGCGACCCTAGTGAGGATTAAGCGGTGTATAGAAAATGGATGGATGGATGGATGGATGGTTCTGGATGTAGAAGCATTTCTTTCTCAAAGAAAATAGAAAAGACTCACAATTCTTCCTCTCCTGGTTCAATCAACACTCCAACAGAATTACAAAATATCTGATTCTTTGATAAAAAATCAAAAGTACAAGCTTGTTCACACCAAAGTTTCATAGGAGGAAGTTGCATTTCAACAAAAAAATATCCAGTCTCTTAACTTAGAATTCACCTGAGCCACTAATGGAACTCAGGTGTTCAGAAAACCCAACGACACACAGCGGTATAAATCAATTCACTTCTTAATTCTGTGTCAGTTTTGCTGGAGAGTGTTTTGACTTCAGTACCTTTTACATTCAGGCTTCTTCTGTATAGCAACAGCACCTGAGTCTCATGGGTATTGTAGTATCCACGATGCCGAACCGATGGACGAAACATAATTTCAGGATCGAAGTGGAGATAATTGAAACTGGTGGCAACAACTTAAACCTCGATGCTGTTGCATTATTAATTACACCTTAGAGCCTCGCAGACGCACTTTGCGCCCCAGTTCATATTCCTTTCTTCTTGGTTGACCTGCTTTAAAAACATGTATTGCAGTGAAGTGTCACACATATCAAATGAAACTGCACCAGGTGACCTTTCCAGCAGCGACAGTTGCTTGTCTGTGCGATGAAGCAGTGAGAAAAACAATTCAGAATTTACATCAGATTTAATTGTAGTTACAACCTGCGTGTCCATCACTACACTCACAACAAAGAGCAGAACCAGACTTTTGTAATCATACACATTTGTTGTGAATACAAATCAAACTTCTGCTAATGTTTTATTAATTTCTTTACTGATTTGCCACCTCTGCAAATATGCTACCATATGTGAACCCCTCAGTGAATAAAATCCTGAAATTTATTTCTTTCAGGCCACATGTTTTTCTCAATTTTTACATCATAAAGTATTCCACCATCATGGTTCTGATATTGCCAGATTAGTCAGATGTATATAAAACAATGTGACAACTTCTGATCTAAAACATCTGGAAGTATTTCACATATCAAACACATCTGAATAGACTGGATTGTTGGAGGGAGGAAAGCAACAACAAAATACTGCATGTACGGCAAGAAAACAGCTTCAAAGTAAAGTCAGTAAAATTATCCTTAAAATAGCTAAGGGGGTCCCTGTACTGAGATCAGTACCATAGAAAATGGAAACCTAAATGGGGAAAAAGCTGAACTGATGAGACAGAGGACTCTTTCAGAGAGAGGCTAAACTCTTTTTTTTTTTAACTGTAAATCATGCAAAGATATGCTAGTAGAGCGCCAAGAATAAAATATAGACCTGGATGCATGACACGTCCCCTTTGGAAATATTCAATAAACAGCCAAAAGCCTCATCACCTCCGTAGAAAACAAAAGCCCAAAGTAATTTGCTGCTTTCTTCCTGAAGGACTGCACTGCAATAAAAACTAGTTCATCCACCAGTTCATTTGAAATTAGTCTCCAAATACAGAACAGGACACACACACACACATACCTACTATGTGTTACAATATAGATGCACATACATTCTGTATCTGCACGTTCTCAGATTATTAAATCAGTCCATCCACCAACTGCTCAGAGCAGGTTAAGCTACCAAGTTTCCAATTATGTGACTGAACTAAGATCGTCTCGCTCTCTGTCGCAGTCACACACAATCAGTGTGACAGCTGATGTTAATCTGCAGCTTTGAATCACACACAAAGAAATCAGTCATCCTGAGATCTCCCAGCGCAACACAAGACTCATCAAAGTGTAAAGGACCAGACCGATCAGCTCTCATGTTTCCGAATATGAACATACAAGAAAAGCACAGCAGAGGAGTTTGACATTTGTGGTTTTGAGTGAAACATAGTCGCAACTATTTGAAGGATTGTCATGGAATTTGACCTCAGGGGGATTGTCACTTTGTGGATCCTTTAACATTTCATCTAGTCATTACGTTGTTTATGAACTGTTTGTGAGCAAATACCTGCAGAGCTTTTTAGTGCTGCTTACCAAAAGTTAAGCTTGTCAGGTCAACATGAACATAAACGTTTTACACGCTTAACATCAGCGTGTTAGTTTGTTGTTTTCACCAGACAATGTTCCATGTAGTTTATATTTAGGGGGAAATGAGAAGCGACTCTGTCCCCTCTCTCTCTCATTGGTTGTCTCATCTGTCACCTGAAAGGCGAATCCTAGATGCAGCCAAACGCAACAACCTGACGGGTCACTTCCTGTGGGTGGGCTCTGACAGCTGGGGCTCCAAGATCTCTCCGGTGGTCCAGCAGGAGCGGGTGGCCGAGGGCGCCGTCACCATTCTCCCTAAGAGGGCATCGGTGGACGGTGAGGCGGCAAAACCACACCACGCTTCTGAAGCTGTGTCGAAAGAAATCATGACTGTAACGACGTCTTCCTTCTTTCTGCAGCGTTCGACCGTTACTTCAAGAGCCGCTCTCTGTCCAACAACCGCAGGAACGTCTGGTTCGCTGAGTTCTGGGAGGAGAACTTCGGCTGTAAGCTGGGCATGCACGGCAAGAGACCTGGCAGCCCCAAGAAATGTACAGGTATGATTCACAGGTCAGAGGTCGACATGAACCTCATTATCCCAGCAGCAGAAACCGTTCTCTACCTCCTCCTTCCCCTATCTGCCCCCTTTCTCCTTATCTGTCTCCTTCTTTCCTCTTCCTTCCTCCTTTTCTTTTCAATGTGCTTCCTTTCCCTCTCTGCTACTTCTTTCCCTTTCGTTCTCCTCCCTTCAGTCTGTCTCCTTCCTCCCTTGTCTTCCATTCTTTGTCTCTGTCTTCTACTTCCCTTTTCTGTTTCCTTCTTCCCTTCCTCTACCTCTCTCTTTTCTTTTGCCTCCAATAAATCTTTATTGCCCCTGTGTCACTATCTCCTTCCTTCTTTTTCTCCTTTTTCTTTATCTTATTCCCTCTTTTTCTTTAAGCTGCCCTCCTTTCCTTTTCTGTCTCCTCCTTTCTTTCTGTACCTATTCTTTAGCTTTTCTACAACACGTCCTTCTTTCCTCTTTTGCCTCCCGTTTTCTTCACTGCATATTTCTTTCCCTCTGTGCTGCATCATTTCCGTCCTTATCGTACCTTCTCCTTTCCCTCTGTGGCCCTGCTGTGGGTCAAAGATACAGTCCTGGTTTCTTTGGCCTTGAGGCCCTTTGAGGCTGTTTTGCGGTTTTGGGCTAAAATGAACTTGGCTTGACTGACAAAGCTAATTATTTACTTTCCTCCTTAGGATTTCCTCAGACACCTTAAAAAGTCTCTCTTCTGCATCTGCTCCCTGAAGCAAAGACCGAAAATCACATCCTGGAAATCTAATATGTTGCCCCGCTTCCACTGTGCTCTCACCCCGCAGTCAGGAACCTCTCAGACTATAAAAGTGTGATTAGGTTAAAGTCTCCGTTCCTGACTCAGCTGTTCTTAGGCGGCTCAGGGCTGTTTCAGGGGGCAGAAACAATGAGTAAAACATGGTTTCTTTCTCTGCTGCAGATCCAGAGCGTGGAGCTTCTCTGTCAGAGCAGCTGTTGGTTTCAGATGATGTACTCAGATACTTTCAGTTCGTATACTACACTGTAAAAATACTCCAAAGCAAAATTTGCTTTTAACAGTGCTTAACTATTATCATTGAAATGTACTTCAGGCCTGAGACGTTAGATAGAATGGACTGTTTCAGTGTCATGTAAGTGGAACAGTGTTACCTAGTGAGTGAGAACTAACTGGAACTGTTTCATATACTTTGTGGTAGTTTAAGCTGCAACCTTGATTCCCCTTATGTAAACTAATAGTATGTTTTGTGTGCAAAATCTTAATCTGTGGAGTTTGCATGTTCTCCCCGTGCAACGTGGGTTCTCTCCAGGTTCTCCGGCTTCCTCCCACACAGTCCAAAAACATGTTGAGGTTAATTGGTGATTCTAAATTGTCCGTAGGTGTGAATGTTAGTGTGCTTGGTTGTCTGTCTCTAAGTGTGGCCCTGTGATAGACTGGTTACCTGTCCAGGGTGTCCCCTGCCTTTGCCCTAAGTCGGCTGGGATAGACTCGTGAGGATTAGGCGGTGTATAGATAATGGATGGATGGATGGATGGATCTTAATCTGTAAAAAAAAAAAAAATCAGTAAATGGCACTAAAGAAATATAATGATACAAACAATCTTTCCTTGTGAAATGTAGTGAAGTCAAATAAAAAAGTGACATAAAATACAAATACTCAAGTACAAGTCCATCAAAATCATACTTGAGTAGCGATATTGAAGTTTAAAAATACTCCACTGCATGAATGTTGTACATTCAAAATTCTACTTCGGCGCCTCCAAAGGGTCATGAAATGATTAAACGGGAAAAAAAGAAAAGGATAATGCACATCTAAAACAAAACAAGGAAGTAAACACTCATGTGATACACAGGATCACTACGTTCATCTTTTACAAATCACTGTGTTTTCTAAGTGTCAGAGAAATAAAATCTTCACCTGAAGTTAGCTTGTAGTGCAGGACACTGGCAAACAAATTCAATATGAGTAAGTGCACTTATCATTTTATCATTTTATCGCAACACATCTTTATTCAGCGGTTTCTCATATATTAAGGATTTTTTTTTTTAAATCATCTTTTGCATCTTTCTCCCTTCATTTGTTTATATTTTCATTAATGTAGGCATGTTTGCCTCACCACAATCCACATTTATTTCCAACAAGAAGGAATATATGCATAAATTAGACAGATGCGTCGTATGTATCCGAAGCTTGAAGACATTTGAAGTGATGAGAATAATTACGTGGTTGTCGTTGCAACACCTGGTACGCTTTTCCTCCTTTGCTTCCTACCATCGCTTCACGCTACCTTTCCGTCTTCTCTGCGTGAGTCGGATGAACAGAAGCTGCTGATAGATTTATATGTCAGCCGCTCCGTCTGATTAGATCCGTGTTGGCTTTTTATTTCAAAGGGAAAAAAATCGTCAGACTGTGACAGCAGGATCGGATAAACCTGTACATCGTTTGTTATGAATTGAGCTGCGTGATAGGTCATAAGTGAGGCTGCAGGAGGTTTTCTCCACTCAGGAGGGTTTGGTGTTTGTCTTACCGTTTTGTGCAATAATTCAGTAAAAAAAAAAAAAAGTGCTGCAGTACCTTCAGCAGTAAAGATAAATTACTTTTGACGGTGGGGAAGGAGACGCTAACAAACATGACCCGAACTGGCATTTAGTCAGTTTGTTACGCAGAAAATTTCACTGGCTGTGAGACTGGAGATACTTTAAGCTGAAATGTATATGAGAAGTATTGCAGTCAGTGTGACTTTGATCAGTAAAACGCACAACACAGGATCACATAAAATGTGACAACCAAGGCTTACTGGTATTGCAGAAGAATTATCACTGCACCCAGTTCTTACACAGAACAGAAATCCTTACTGGCAAGTCTCGCCACTTGGCAGACATCTTGGTGACACACCCAGGCTGTTATTTGGGGCCTAAAAAAAGGTCCTATTGTAAATGAATGAAGAGACGGACATAACTGGAGTGCCGGTGGTCACCAGGGTGTAGGAACTGCTAAAGTTGTCCCTCAAAAAATTGTGTTCTTATAGAATTAAGCTGCATTATATTAAGACTTCAGCTTCATTTGTACTTGTTGTGTGCTTGTTTGTTTTCTCCAATTGTTTGACTAAGTAAAGGAGCCAAAACTATGTGGTTAGGTTTGGAAAAATAGTTAATGTTTCCCATACTTTATTGTAATTAACACTGTAATGTGATTGAGAAAGCAGTTTAGTTGTATGGGAATAAAGTTTTGGTAGAAAGGGCTGATACTGCAAATATATAGTCATCCGTCAAATTTGACAAAAAAAACTTTTTTTCCCCCAAGAAGAGATGCTTTTACTGCATATGCACGCAGCTTTACACCAGCTTGAGTCAGTACAACAACCTGATTGCTTTGGATTTTCCTGGTTTCCTGGTACAAAGCAGACAAAGGAATTTTTGGATCGATGGATGGGATGTGTGTCATATATCTGCCATCTTTGGGACCTGAAGATTTCTATCCAGGGTTCTTGAAGTGACGAGTCTCTTGTTTAGGATGTCTCAGACCTCTATACCACATGCTCATAGTGTCACAGTAGAGACCAGTGAGGCTCTTTTGTCCCTCAAATTACAGATGAACAGGTGGTGTGAGTGAAAATCTGTAGAACCTGATAGACTGTCGGTTTGCTATTTCCTCACAATTGTCCAGCATCTCCTCTGTGTTGGAGGGTCTGTTGTCTCTTTGGGTCATTCCAACACTTGACCTCCATTTGTATTCATGGACTGAATTTGTGACTGCTGCTGAGTGCCAATTAACATGCTGGATAATCATTTTGGGACCCGTCTTCTCAAGCCCATGACACAAAGCAACTCTGACACCCTCAGTCTGCAATTAATCCAGCATCTACTCAATCATGCTTAGTCTAACAATAAGTGTGAACAAGTGCTTGTGAGGAACAGGACAATATTCGTTAGCATCAGACGAGAGCTGTGAGTTTAGTTGCTGTCCATTTAGAGGGAATTAGATTTCCAAAGAAGATGTTTGAAGTATGACCTGAAGGCCCTTTCAGACGTGCATTCATTTCCAAAAATCTGAAGGCTTTCAAAAATTCCAGCTTTGTGTCTGACTTAACACCTTGGTAACTTCTCCATGGAAGTCATAATGATGTGTTACTTGGTTGGACTTTGTAAGATTTCTACAGCACATGTCAGACCTGCATGCTGTCATGGAAGGCAAACACAATCATACATACTCACATACTTTAAGTTGTGTGAAACAATTTAGGAATGTCAGCACCAACATTAGACCAAAGACATCACAGAGAGCAAAAGCCACAGTTTGTTTGCTAAAATCTCAAAACACCTTCCCCATTCACTTCTACAGTTTCACATTTACTACAAACTGAAATGTCCATATAAATAAAACTGTAACAGGTCCAATAACTAAGACTCACCAACAATGAATGTGATTTGAGTTTTGATAAAACTTTAACAGGAAGTAAAGTTTAGTTTGTTGCATCCAGCTGTTACTTCTGCAGCATCGAACAGCAGCAGGATCTAGAGTACATAGAGTGTCCGAGGTGAGAGAGCTGTGAGCGTTTACACACATGGAACAGGAGTAATTTCATTTATTTCTTTCAATAATTACTCAATATGCCCAACACAGAGAAGATAAAACGATAAAACACAATGTTTACTTGTACTGAGGCTGTCCCCCCTCTCTGCTGTTTTAATATTTCTATCTCATAATTAGTAAAGTAGTGGTTGGATTGTCATCACACATGAATTGTCACTGTTTAGGAAATCATAAATAAACTCGGCTCTTAGTTATTTGGATGCTTTGATAAGCTTGGTATTAGTTTAAATGTATTTTTTTGTTTATTAGAAAGGTTTTTTAGTACATACACATGACAAAAAACCTTTATCTGTCCAATCTCATGTGTGTGATAAACTGTTTGCACACTATGGCTCTGTTTCAGAATTTGGTCTGTAGGTCTAAATAAATGAGAACGTCATCACTTTCACAGGTTGATGAAGCAGCAATGTTT